TCGTAACAGTTACTCCAGAATGGAATCTATCCCTTGAGGCCAAAGTTTAAGCCTCATATTTATTTTAAAAAGTTCCTGGAAAAAATATATCTCTAAGTTCTTCTTTGGTGCTATTTTACTCACATGACAAACTTAATTCTGGAATCATTAGCACCAGTGACGCGGTTGAGAGAGTAGCGCAGGGATCTCTTGGAGTTCTGCTTTTCCTTCTATCGTTGGAGGGAGAAGCCTGGCTTGGGGTTCCCTGCCTAATTGTTTAGTTATTACTTATTACTTATTTTTTAGTTTTTTTTGTTTGTTTTTTTTATTGTAATATGCATTTTGGCCAGATGTTATGTCAATTTTTATGTACAATATTGTTATTCTGAAGGGACTTTGTCCCAGAATAAAGTTGATTCTTCTATTTTATTATATTCTATTCTAATTGTATATATTGTATATAGGTATGACCGTGTTTTTATGATTTTTAATTTACTTATCTTTAGCTTATTTTTTTTTCGTACATAGTTTTTGATTATTATTTTAATTTTGTTAATTTTATATTTTCTGTATATATGGTGTGAATGTGTTCATATATCACTATAATTATTGTCTACGTGACAGATTATTATATTTCTAAATAAATAAATAAATTTTTTAAAAAGTTATGGAATCACGTTAGCGAATTATAAGATATTAAATTTTATTTGATATCAGATCACTCAAACGCTATAGTCGTCCAAAATCTACAATACATACAATAGGACAGTCAAGATCTCTTTTCCGGCTCACGGAAGTAGGATGGATATTTTATGAATAAAAATAAATTTCATGGATAACAAACGAATCTCAATTTCTGTTCTTGAATTTCTAAACATCTTTAATGAAATACATAAAAAATAATGGAAGATTATAAAACTCAAATGGCTACAAAAGTCAGCGGATCGATACGAGATTAATTTTGTTTTGAAGATATAGACGTGGATATTAAAACCAATTATAGTTTCAAAGAAACTAAACTGATTCATATAATATAAAACCCTAGAATATACCGTTTTTGAGATACATCTTGATTCTTAAAAAAAGCTTCTTAGTTGATATGGTTGGCATGGGATAACCCAACATGATTAGGACAATGAAACAAGTGAAATACACTGCCAAAATTCAAGGCGTTTATTCCGAATACTTTAAAACTCATAAAGAACTGCGCCAAGGACATTGTTTGGCATGTCTCCTATGTAAAATTTCCTTGGAGTGTGCAGTTAGGAAATCACAATTACAGGTAGATTGGTGTTTAATTATTTGTTACAACTAATAGAGTTTTCTGACGACGATGGAGATCATATACAGCCATAAATGAATCATTTGCAGGCCTTCAAAGAGTTGGCTTAAATGTAAATGCGAATAGACATAAGTATATGCTGACCGATCAAAGGAGTTAGGATCCCAGGAGAATATAGTTCTCATGTTCCAATGGCACATCACTGATATTGCTGTTCCTCTTTTACAAACCTTTATTATTTCGTCCATGAAGATAATTTACAGTAGAGTACTGAGACCATACCCCTGATTTACTCTTTTTTTCCATCGGGAAGCTCTTCGACTCGAGACCATTAATACTTGCAATGCCCTTTGGAGCCTGGTAGGTTGATTTTATTTCATGTAACAAACCATTCGGCGCCTTCTTTAGTCTCAGAGCTTTCCCCTGTTGGTACTTAGTCAAACGTAGCTGTAATGCCCAGTAAAAGAAGTGATAAACTTATATTTAGATCCTAGACTTTCACGATTAATATTCTTAAATGGTCTTGGGTTTGGCGTCAAGCGCCGGCAATGCGGATTGTCGAGGAATAAATTCACAAAACTAGAAGGGTAGACAGACCGAAACTTAAATGGGCAAATGGAGAGGAAGCAGAAGCCCGAGGTATCTATGGAGTCCACAAATGGAAGGCGGCTGCACTTCTCAATATGATTGACGATTGAAGCTGGGGATTGAAGTTTAGGGCCATGGAAGAAGTAAGAGATGAAATAATAAAAACCCAGGCATGGCTTATATAATCCCTTAAATAGAGGAACTATAAACTAAGGCTCTACTGCACCAAACAGATAGGTCTTGAGCGAGTACAATAATGGATTGGTTATTACAATCAAAATAAAGAACTATTTGTTTTTTATTATTTTTAAAATATTTCTCCTTGTTATTAGAATCTTCCAAAGACATGTTGATCCACTGCCTAGAAGGGTAAATTAATTTCGTTAAGACATCCTCAATTACCCACTTCCAACACAGCTTACGAATAAATCATCCTACAACAAAAGCTAAAATAATATAGGATTTTCCTCTTTGTATGAAAGAACGTAAATCGACCAGGCTTCACGGCGTTCGGCCCATTCTTCTCTCTTAACAACCGAGAACAGGGTCCGCCTACAATTCTCCATTTAGCTATTCATAATTCTTAATAAAATCTAAAAATTAATGAAAAAGCTTTAATTATTAACCATTGATTAGGTTGCTAATAATGCAGTGTTTTTACTTTCAGCCTTCCAACAGTAACTTTCAAAAATGAATTTAAATAATCAAGCGATGAGTATCCTTATAAAATTGCAATTCAGGGCCCTCTAACAAGATCTTCTTATGTCAATCGCTTGTCTATAAATGATTTTTTAAATGTCCTTCCAAAAACAATCTCGTTTGTCCTCAACGAAATCCGAATTTCTCAAATGTAAGGGAACAAATCTCAACTTTTGTCCCAGTTTTCTCAGAATATATTATAAATTTGCTATAAGATGGCAATTAAAAAATGAATAATTTTCAGACATATGAGGTATAATCAAACACTACGAATATTCGAGCTGATGTCATACATTAAGCAATTTTTAGTTACATCAAGATTTTGTTTTATTTTTATAAACAACTCGAAGATCGACAGCCGATCGATATATGAAGGCTTGGAAAAACGCTGCAAATAAAATATTTAGTTATAAGTATTATGATAATAAAAAAGATCGAATCTGAACGGAAATACAAGTTTTTGCATTATCTTTGTCCAAATGACCAAGTCTCTTAAAATCGTCAGCGTGTGTGTCAGTGAAAAGCCCAAGTGAAAAATGAAAATTTGTTACAGGAAATCTTTTGAATAAAATTGACTTACTTAAACTGCCGAATCATAATGACGATTTTACATTTTCCTCGTAAATGTCATTATTGTTTTGATTAAACTCGGTATTTTAATGTAAACATGGAAGATATTTAATATAATATCAAATTAGAACCGTGTTATCCTCATTAAAATAATCTGACCGGGATTGAATGTCGATTTTCCACAATGTTTCTTCTAAAGCTAATTTAATGTTGTTTATTAAAATTAATTAAATATCCCTTTATTCTATTAATAATAAGGAAAATAACATATTTAAACCACGAAAAACTGTGATAATTGAATCATGCAGAAATAATAATAACCTCTTAATGCGTTTAATAAAATCAATTTTAATATATTTCGACCAAATTACTATCTTATGGTGTAATATACAATTTTTCTTTTAATTATTTCAATTAAATCATTATATAAATAGGGAAATGCAAAGCGTTTCAGTATCTTTTTCGTCTCTGTATCTCATCTGATTTTCTTTCTTTTCTTTAGAAACTATTGACAAGCTTTAGTGCTATTAATGAACAAAAATTTTAAAAAGCGTATACAAATATGAATATAAATTTTATTATGTTAAAAACAGCTTATTTCCCAAAATTCCTCACTGATTACTTTGAAATTTTGATACAACATAGCAATAAAATTCAGGAGAGTTTATATATGCATATTATTATTATCCACCATTTCGTTTTGAAATGGCGGCCGAAAAACGTGATTCGCTTCAGACTGTAGTGTCAAAACTGCTGTAAATATTTAAATGAAACTTGGCTAAAGCCTTCCTCTTGAAACCTTTGTAATTTAGTAATATAACATACTTTCTCGAAAACAAGCTACATAAATTGTTACGATGAATTTAGAATTTTATTCGCGAATAAATCACAGAGTACACACTTTTTTATTCTATTGCGTATTTGAAAGCTCTTTAAACTCCCTATTAAATGAATAAAAAAATCATCGAAATCAAAAAGGACCATGCCCAATTAGATATTTTGTTGCATTTTAAAAAATATGTTCTGCGATTTATATTTCGTAGGAGAGCACTATTGTGACTAATTTATGTTTAAAATATATCTGTCATATAAATGTAATATTGAAATGAATAAAAAAATTACCAACCGAAGGAGTGTAGTGGTTTCAAATATTTTATGAAGGAGAAATAAAATTGAGATATGGATTTCACATCTGGAAAACCCTCAAATACAAATATTCTTAGTAATCGAAAAATAAGAATTTTCTGGTTTAAATTTTCACTGAATTAGGAAAGTGGGTCCAAATATTTTTTTGGAAAAATTTACGATGGATTTACATTTTTATTTGCCAATAAATCAAAAAGTAAACATATTGTTCGGAAATTTGTATACCATTAACGTTTGATTTCTTTAAGTTTGAATACAATGTGAAATGTATTATTTTATAATTTCAGGTAAAACAGCTGTTATAGAAGTATTTTAAAAAACATATGTTAATTATTTAGTATTAGTTAATATTATTTAGTTAAAAAAATTGTGTGTTTTTATAAAACTGTGCCTTGTAAAATTTGATAAAATATAGTTTTGTGTTTGGTTTTTTAAAATTGCAATCAATCACTACTTTATTTACAAGTTCCCATTGTTATTCGTCTTTTGTATTACGAGAAACATATGGTACTTTGCTGTTTTTTTTTCTTGTCGTAAGTAAATATAAATGTGAATATAGAAAAGGGCTGCTGCCCAATTATATTGGGTTGTTACAAACACAGCATACTAATAAATCATTATGCAAATTTTTTAAAACTAATATATAAATATACAGTATTAAAAATATACAAGAAAATGATATACAATATATTTTTATATACATATGTATTGTTTTTATATATATATTTTTTCTTTTTTGCCAATTTCTTTCATTCATTCACCAACATTTATTTCCCTTTCTTTCCCTTCTCTCCCCTTATATATTCCTCCTCATATTTTCTCCCCTCTCTCTTTCTAACCTGATTCGTAAAAATACATAAAATACAGTGGACATGTTCAATAAATAATATAAATAAGATAAAAATATTGTTTTTTAAACACATGCTTACCTCCCTCCCATGAGCAAACTCTCTCCCTATCCGCCTCAATGCGCATGGTGGTGGATGATTCCCAGGATGTCCAGGATTATATTTTCCGCCAATTTTGCCATGAACCTTCTTGTTGAGTTTGGTACCGTTCGGCGAGCTCCGATCCAAAGACCTCTCACGAGGAACTCTCTCGCAGAACTTTTCATTTAGAAAGGGGATGCATAAGTTTTTTTTTTCTCTTTCCGCTTTGTCTGCCTGATCTAGGTCATAGATCTCATATCTCACAGTAGGGTCCAAAACCATCACCGACTTTCTCGTTAAAAATAAAACTAGATTTTTTTTTTGGAGAAATGCATGTTCATTTATGTTTTCTTCAAATATTCTATAATAATTAAGGTCAAACTAGTAGACACTAGTTGTTATTCATTGATTCATAATCACCTGTTACCAAGCCTTTCATACAATTACAAATACATTTAATATTCGGTAATTAATTAAAATGCTTCTGCTGCACATATCCTACATTGTAATATAAAAAAATATCTAGTGTGTCCACTCGCACGACTTTCTTACCTATTTCAGAAAAGTTTTTATATCTTTACATATGCTCATGAAGAAACAAAAAAGAATTGAATTAGATTTATTTTCCTGAAAATTGATCAAACAAAAGATTAGAGTACGATTTATTTGATAAACTAAAGCAATGTAAACCGGATAAGTTCATCAGTTCAGTTCGGAAAATTTCAATACTCACTAATATTGCTGATTAAAAACTTTTTGCCATAGCTTAGTATTGTCAAATAATAATTTCTGTTAAAAGAAGAGAAAATAGAGAAGATTGTGTGATGCGGGCAACAGATTTTTTAACTTTCACTTAGTCATCTTTATTCTCTCATTCACCCCTTTCTGACGCCAGGATATGAACCCGTAATCTGCCATTGGAAATTGAATAGCTGTAACTTCGTTAATAGTAGTCCAAAATGAACAATTTTTATATGGCTTTGTAGGTAATTTCATTACCTTTCAAACGACAGACCTTTTATAAATTATACCGTATAATATATACTTAGGCAGTTAGGCCTCATAACATTTTTCTTTTCTTTATAACTTTTTTCTTTGAAAATTGAAACGACATTATGGAAAAGTTTCAACAAAATCGTTATAGCCATTTTCGCGCTACAGTCTATAGAAAAACATGTTTTTCATTTATTTCGCGCAAGCTATTGCGACCGAGTTTCCGTCACAGGCATCAGTAGTCAAAACTCTACAAAATAAAAAAAGAAATAACAAAGTCGGTTCAGTAGTTCCCGAGAGAACTTGGCATCGATAGCCAGACCAATGGTTAAAAATGTGTTTTTCGGACTCGGGGGCTCTGAAACGTTTAGATCCGTCGAAAACCGCATATCGGAAATTTGATCCGATTGCAATACTTTCCTTACCTAGTATAGCTAGGAAAGTAAAAAAAAAAACTGTATTAATAAGTATAGTTATATAAGATAAATATATTATTTACGTAAACTCAATAAACTATTTTTATAAAAATCAAACAGAATATTATTATGCCAACACAACGATATTGAAAATGTGAATTTCTCATTAAAATATCTTGTACCACATGAAGAAATGCTTCTTGATCAAAGCTATGGCAAGAAGGCAACCTTCAAATTAATATCAAAAAATTATTTAAAACTAATTTACAATGAAAAATGATAAAAGATTTTAAAAATCGAGCTCACGTTCAACCACCTCTTTTTTTCCTTGAGCCACAAGAGGATTTCTCTGTGATGAATGGAACAAAATGAATAAACAAACAGCTGGATTCGAAATAGAGCGTGCCTGGAGATGGAGCCCCCTCGGATCCTCTGATTAAAGTAGATAGTCCTAAAAAAAAATAAAAACCAGTTTTAATCATGAACTCTTTTATTAGAAAAAGGATTCCACGTGAACGTAATGAACAGAACAAAATTTTACCTCAGGTTAAAAACTATTTACGACTGATAACGATTCTGAAAATTCAACAATTCTGAATTGAGATGGCCTGGAGTAGTCGAGCTTGTTCAATCAAACTTAAGCTACCTCGAGCAGGGTAAATACTTGGAAACCTCTCGAATTGGATCACCGTCCGACGAGAAAAATCACGCTGGCCGAGATGTTCTTCTTCGGAAATCTGAGAGCCTTCAAAAGATCTAGAGGGTCTGTTGCGCAAATCGAAAAAAAAAATTAAATAAACATAAACATGAATTTTTCTTACATAAGTTCAATTTTATCAAATGATTATACCCGAAAATCTCTAGTGACGCGAGTTGATTATATATATATATATATATATATATATATATATATATATATATATATATATATATATATATATATATATATATATATATATATATATATGCAATTTAATATGTTGTCATTAGTAGTTCTTCAAGGACACTTCCATCTCCTTCAGAAATTACCACAGAAAAATGAGATTCGAATGTACTTCAGTCAATTCACTATATTATTCCTGAAATACTGAAAACGTGATACAACATACAATACCATAGGCCGAACTGTATTCTTTAATATTCTAATGTTTTCATGGTATTTAGTATTCTATTGTTTTACATCAATTCGCGTTAGGACGAATTGTTGTCTGTTGTGGAAAGTTTCAAGTCGAGTAGAAAATAGAACATAGTTTAATTTAAAGAAAGTAACAACCGGACTAAATAGGCAACTATTACCAGCCGGTTTCAAGAAAACATAAAAAAGTAAAATTCAGTAATTATGTTTGCAACTTTAGTTATTCGCGTTTTGTGGAAATATTTACATAATTTTTTCAATATAAAACCTTTACATATTGCATGTGAACACACTTACTTATTTCGAAGGAGACAGAAATACATAAAAATGTTATCTAATTATTATTTACACGACAAATCTAAATGTAATTGCTATAGTTTATTTTTCTTATTATTAGGGGACTAAATGTCCCAGAATAAAATTTACGATTCATCTCCTTTTGTTTTCTTTCGTTTATCTATTTACACCAGTCACTAAGCAATGTGACAATAACCAAATGTAGTATTGTGAATCATTGATAAAAATGTGGTATTTCAGACATGGGGATGATATAACACAGTAGCACCACTTTCAGAGATCTTTCATCCAGTTTCTATTCATTCGCCTTCTGATGGGCATGTCAACTTTTGTTATTCTTTTATATGTGTATTATTGTGTCCGTGTAGCTTTTTTAGAACTCGGAAATAGTACTTTTTGTGTTTGTAGATAGTTGATTGTCGCAAGTCGATATTAGAGTTTTGTTATTTACGTAATAGGGAGCGTCTTCTATTAATCCTTAAATTTCGGATTGAAAAATATGTTTTTTTCAGTTCAAGTTTTTTTTTTTGAACCATAAATCTATGAGAAGTGCCCATATGAGTTTGAGTAAGTAGGTTCGGTTTAGTTTCTGATTAATTTTCAGTTCTGATAATTTGAAAAAGAAAAAGAGTAATTTGAGTCCTTTGTTTAAAGTCATTCTTTACACTTTGGCAGGTGGATCCAAAGTTACTTTTGTCGAATGCAAGTCCAAAACAACGTCCCTTAATCCTCTAATGGTAACAATTGAGAGAGAAACAGTAACAGTAACGCTGGGTCAATTCGACCCGGCAAAAATTCTCTTTGATTTGTATGCTTTTTTATAGGTTTTGGGGGATAATAACATCATGATATATACTTTATTTATTACTTAAGTAATTTTTTGAAAACAATAAAAAACATAAAATTGGATAATAAAAAAATTCTTGAAATACACGAAGTAAAAATTAATATTGTCGAAATATATTACAGAGTTTGCAGTAACCAGAATACCTCGACAGAGCGTTGTTCAATTTAGGGGTGAGATGACTAAGTGGATGAAGGAAGATGAATAGAAGCATGATCTTAAGTGTCAGGCGGATCAGCACCCAAATCACTCTTGGTCTGCGGTGTAAGGGATCGTTAACACTCCGCAAGGATGGTAACCACAAACGGAGGGATCAATCTCCTGACTTAATTAATACATGGGAATACAAGTGGACGGATCAGCATCCAGATTTGTATAGAGAAATAAAGGATAAAGGTTATAGGTAAACCATAATAGCTGCCTTTTTCTATTATTTATTATTCTATTATGTGATGTAGAAATAGAAAGGGTATATAAACCACTTAAAAATAGGTAGGCGACTGATAATCCTAAAGCAAATAGGTCTAGGAGATCATTATTTCATGAGTAAGTTGGTAAACAGAGACGCGCCCGATTATTCTAGTCATATTTTTTATCAGTTGATTTATATACCTTCATCGCTATTTAGTAAAATAAACATATTTTTACAATACATGTTTTACAATGAAAGAGACATACATTTAAAAAGTTATATATATACAAAAAATAAAATATAATAACCATCTTCTGATATGTGGTATCTCGTAAACTACGTGCAGCCGCTACAATAATAAAATATATTCAATTTCAAAATATGCAATAAATTATTCCATAATTTAGTCTCCTTCATAACAATATATGCATGCAAAAATTTAATGCTCTCCACATTCACACCTCTGTCATTTTTTACAAAATCGGCCTCCCGTCATATCTCTACTCTTGTCGCAAATGTCGCATCTTTTTCACTTTTTTTCTTCTGGTAATTGTTGTGGATGTACTTTTCCTGTATCCGTTAGTTTCATAATGGTACTCCGAAGCTCTCGTAGGTTAACTTTACATTGGATAATAATAGAATAATAGAAATTTTTTTAAATAAAGAGTAAGGTTGGGTCAATTTGACTCAAAATTCGAATAGGACATGCAATATTGCGGATAGATTAACAATACAACTTACCAGAATAGAACTACATTGAAGACAATTAGTTCAACAATGGATAGGTGGGTATCTGTAGTTTGGTGGGGGAAATCCTAGAAGTTCATGCGTACTACACCAAATTGTGACGCTCGCTTCAGATTGACCCCAGTGTTACCGCTTGAGGGTTAATATAAACTTTTCATCTCAAAAATTCATAATCACACCAAAATATGCCTGCCTCAAAAATTTTGATGGCACAACTTGAGCCAGATATCATCTTCTGGACAACCCTGAGCACACTCTCTGGTTATTTGCATCTTTGACAAGTGTGACTTGAAAAGTAAAGTTTAAAAATATATTTACATTTATTGCAACAATGATAATGAATCAAGCCATAGTAATAAATGAACACATTCGTTTACTTTTTTTTTAACTTTTATTTTTTTTATTCACACCTGTCATAAAATTTATGACAACCAGTGAATGTGATGATAGTTGAAAAACATAATGAATGGCATGAGGGAGAGAAACAACCCAGTGGCACCTCCTCCTGGCGTGATATCTACATTAGGTGAAGTGGTCCCTCATCCACCTCCTCTTCCGGCTCCTATGGACTTTACCTGGCATTGGCGTAGTGGCCATGTCATTCATGAGTGTGTGTCCTAGTAATTTATCGCGGAATCGTTAGTAATGAGTTCGTTAACAATCGGCGTATAGACATCAGTGTGTAAGGTTATGTTGCTAACGTACCAAGGTGCTTTTGTGATTGTCTTGAATGATTTCGCTTGAAAGATTTGAA